CTACACCTCTAGTCGTTGTATCTCTCTGATCCAAGGGGACTCTCCGCCCACCGCTTAGATGAACGGTGCATCTTAATACACTTCTTGTGGTGCTTCATTGACATTTAGCTGGCGCTTCTTCTTTACGTGCTTGCGGCGCGTGCTACTGCTGTCGTCGCTGCTGTCGCTGTCAGATGACTCGCCGCCCTTGTGCCCGTCTGCACGCTCTTCTGCGTCGGGGGCTATTGTGTGTAAGCGCGTGTGTGTGGGGTTGTGCGTGTGTGCATGTGAGAGAGAGAGAGAGAGAGAGAGAGAGAGAGAGAGAGAGAGAGAGAGAGTGTGTGTGTGTGTGTGTGTGTGTGTGTGTGTGATAGCGTTGAAGGGCAGCAAAGGGATGAAGGAACCCGTGCAAAGGGCAGCTAGAGAAGATGCGCGACATCTACACATGATATACATGCGTACGTACAATACAACCTCTTGGTTTCCAGCACACGCACAAACAATGATGCACATGCGCACGTACCTTCTCCTGGTGCTCTGGGTACTTTGCCAGGCAATGGGTGACAAAGGAGAGGGCTGCAGTTGTGGTATCGTGTCCTGCAAAGAGGAATGTGTGACACTGGTCACGAATCTCGTCATCTGTCATTGCCGGGTTGCCGTCCTTGTCGCGCGAGAGGAGACAGATGTCCAGGAAGTCAAACAGCGCACGCCCAGAGGGCCTGGTGGGTGGTGTGGGTGCGAGCAGAGTGTGGGCAGGTGAGCAACCATCAAGCGCTGTTGGTTGTGGTCGAAGCAAGGCCATATCACACATGCACACAGCAGGAACACTGACCGCTTGTGTTGAGCAATGTCGTCAATTGTCATCCCTTTCAAGTTTTCACGACGCTGGTCAATGATCTGCAAGGGTTTCCCGATTGTCAAGGGTGTGAACCATCTCGAAAAGGAGAGTGGAAGCAACGCGTGGAGGCACCCCTGGGCACTCGCCCTCTCTCTTTTTGCACACAGACACACACACAGACACACACAGACACACACACAGACACAAGTACACACAGTTACGAACATGCACTCACGCACACGCACACACACACACACACACACACAAGTACGCAAGTACACACACAAGTACGCATACACACAAGTACGCACACACACACAAGTACGCATACACACAAGTACGCACACGTACGAACATATACTCACGCTCTGCGCAACGGTGTGGATGTAGTTGATGGTCTTGCGGAAGCGGCGGCCAGTTGGTGTGAGAGCAAAGATGACATCGGAGGCGAGAAGAGGGTTCATCGCCCGCTGTGACGCCAATTGTGCGCGACAGTGTGGTGGCGGTGGAGTGAAGATGGTGGGGATGGTGGCGGAAAGAGGGAGGAGTGAGCATGAGCGAGCCCACCGATGCGTGAAATGGCCATAGAGTTATGTAATACGTTGACGTTGTTGTTGTTGTTGTTGTTGTTGTTGTTGTTGTTGTTGTTGTTGTTGTTGTTGTTGTTGTTGTTGTTGTTGTTGTTGTTGTTGTTGTTGTTGTTGTTGTCGTTGTTGAGCGAGCACTGCAGCTCCACAGTAGTGACAATACGCTCTCGCACAGGCAAACGCACAGAGGCAGTACAACAGTTGCAACGTACAGCGATGATGACTTCAGAGTTTTCGGTGACGGCTGTGCAAAACTTGTTGTCGTCGTTGGTCTGGCAGTTGGTTTCGTAGTTGAATGCACACCTGCAAAGCGTGTCGAATGTGTACAGAGCGTAGTGCTGCATCACATCCACGGCCTCATCAGGCGTCGTCGTTGCAATCTTCTCAAACTTGTCAATGAGCGGCTGGGATGACTGGCCCATCACCTGCTCTCACGGAGAAAAAGAAAAGTGCAGCGAGCGGGGACGAGCAAACCAAGGATCAGCAACCGCTGACAAGCATGGTGTGTTCAAATTGCCCTTGTTCCCATACACGTGAGATTCATCATTTCAGCACTGCACTTGGACACACACACGCACACACCGTGACGTAGTCTGTGAGAAGGGTACGATGGAAAGCTGGATCAAGGAGTGTCCTCATGTATCTCCAAATGGGGCCGTCCTGTCTCACACGCCACGGACGTGTGCAAGAATGCGTGATCATCAGTGCCGGGAGCATGCGTGAAACGTCATCGTTGCACTCTGCATTGCATGCATGTCCACACACACACACACACACACACACACACACACATACACACACAAAGCTGCATTCATACACAGACGACAACAACAACAACATTTGCGTTGTGTGTGTGTATCTTACGGCGATGAGGATGGAGCTGGGCCCGAGCCAGGGCGCCATGAGCTTGAAGATGAACGGAGATTTGGGCGCATCCATGGTGACAACTTGTTTGATGTCACTTGGTGTTCGCAGGGCCTTGCAATGGCGTTGAATCATCAAAGACGCAGTGCCAGACGTTGTACGTGAGAAAGGCACGCGGACTGATGTGCAAAAGCAAGCAACACAGTTTGCGATCGCACTGCTCCTCATCTGACGTACGATGAAGTTGATGAACGGCCCGATGCAGAACCGAAGCGGCTTGAGTGGGTCGATCGCAGAATAGCGTTTGCCGTACGCCAGCGTTCCTGCACCGCCACCCCTGTGCTCCAGCATAGTTCTATCCAAATGCAAGTGCATCAATACATTGTTGTAAGCAGCGTGCTTCACACGTCAGTCACGAGGCCCCACCACCGACCGCGAGTACACTCAAAACAGCAATCGATCCTGAGCATAAAGGCGAATACAAAAAAGGGAAAACACACAAATGCAGAGACAGAGAGGCAAAGAGACACAGAGAAACAGACACACACACACACACACACACACACACACAGGCACACACAGACAGGCACACAGACACGCACGCACACACACACACGCACAAAGACACGCACGCACACACACACACGCACAAAGACACAGACACGCACGCACACACAAAGACACAGACACACACACAGACACACAAACAGACACACACAGACACACACATACACTGACCCGAAGATGGGGTGAATCTTGGCGCCGGCACACTGGTTCAGTGCTTGACGGAGGCGCCACCACTGAACAGCGGCGTTGATGAACCACAGGGCAACGCCCGTTACCACTGCCACTGCCAGCATCGACACCCACGCCTCCTTTGCGATCGCCATTATTGTCCTTGCAGTCCTTAGTTTGGGAAGATTGGTGAATGAGTTTATCCACTTTTCGGCAGTGCAACAACGATGATGACCACTGCGAACTTGGTTGTGTTTGTGTTTGTTGGTGTGCTGTTGGTGGTGGTGGGTGAGGGTGATGTTGGTGGTGGGGTGGGAGCTGTAAAGCGGAGACAGTGGCGTGTACCAACAGCACCAACACACGAGGAGTTGCCACCATTGGGCGTGGGTGGTCACTGCACGGATCCTGCGGTGTGCGGCGCCTGCGATCCCAACTTGAGTGAGTTTGAGCGCGTGCATTGATGTGGTTGTGTGTGAGTGAGTGGAGTATTTGAGAGTGTATGGATGTGTGGTTCATTGAGTGACATGTGGTCGAGAGGGGTGGGCGCAGCATGACCCTTTGACCATGTGCTCACCCTGACGCGCACTGGCACACACTGGGTCATCCATCCACTCTATCGTGCGTGGACACACCCGCACGTATCTTCTCGTTTCGTGCTATGTGGCAGTGCCAGCTGGTTCGTTGGGTCAAGTCAGTCCATGTGTTACTGGCCAGCTGGAGGAGACCCATGAAGGCATGCCAACGCCAACGGTACTGTTTGAGACTTACATCACTGGTCAGTTTTCCAGGTTTGTCCGTGTGTGTCCGTGTGTGCGTTTTTCGTCCACCCGATGCACCGTCGTCATCAACTCCAACGGCACACACACACACACACACACAACATAGCAGCTGCTCCCTCACTCCTACTTGCTGGCTCACCCACTCGCTAATTTACTTTCTCGCTGATCACAGGGAGCAAACCACTGGTGATGCGCGGGGCGGCTGCCCATTATCCTGCAGTTGACGCCTGGACAAGCGACGAATACATGAGCCGCAAAGCGCAACACGATATCGTTAGTGCACACCTGCAAGATGCGATTTCAAATACAATGCAATCACCACACGCACATACACATGTGACAAGAGCGTGTGCGTGGTGATGTGGGCGACCGTTTCAAAGACATCCACTGGCTGATGCCTGTTGTCAGATGGTACTTTGCACCCACCATCTCACGTCATGGCCACGCCGTGCACTCCAATGAAATGCGTGTTAGATTGACTTTGAGGTCCATCGCGTGGAAGTTCGCAGCGCCGGCACAGGGTGGGTGTCATTATCGCAATAAGTATACTTGCGGGCCAAGTTGAGATCACACGCTGGGTTTTGTTTCATTGCCGTATTTCACTGGCATTCATCTCAATGTATGTTTGTGTGTGTGTGCGTACATGTTGGTGTATGTTCGTCTACAGATCAATTGATGTGCCGACGTTTCTTCAACAGTATGCAAGAGCGGACGTGTACGCCGTAACTCCAGTGCCACCAGGTGTAATGCGTGTTGATGCGCTTGCGCGCGTGTGTTGTGTCTTTCTGTCCATGCGTGAGAGAAAGGGTGACTTGCTTGTTGTTGTCGCAAGCATGATTGTAGACGGCACTGGCGTGCTGACCACGGGCCTCACCCCCTTTCTTCGTTGCTGCTGCTGCTGCTGCTGCTGCTGCTGCTGCTTGTTTCTTTGTTTACTCGTTTGTTTGCTGGCAGGGTTGGCAGAGGACGTGTACCTGCCAAGCAGCATCGCCTGTGGAAATTACACGGAAGTGAAAGCGATGATGTGGATGGGTGGTGGTACCACCATCAGTGTCACGCACACAGATTCGTACGAGAACATCAACTGCGTTCTTCAAGGTGTGCGTTTGCTCGTGTGGTCGTTTGTTTGCTAAGTTGTGCGTTGGCTTTGTGTGTGTTTGCGTGTGTGTGTTGCTTTGTTTTATTTATTCGGTTGTGTGTTTGGTCTGTTTTTGTTTTGTGTTTGCGCGAGTGCTCGTTTGGCATCGTGCTTGCATGCTGGAGACTTGCGCACACTTTAACGCGTGCACGTGTGGCTTCATGTTGCCTTGGCTTCAGGCAAGAAGGTGTTCATGATTTGGGAGCCAGACACGCCCATCCACAAGGTACACGTGAGCACATGAATTGCGCATAGTAATGACTCATGCGGTCCACCGCTTATCCCCTTCTTTTCTCTTCACTGACACACACACACACACACACACACACACACACACACGCACACACACACACACACACACACACACACACACAATCGGCTGTATCTCACGTAACACGTCGCACTCGCGTCCTTCCTGCATGCCATCAGCACTCGCGGTGGCGCCGTTCATTTCTTGAGGTCCCGAGCTTGGACATTGACGAAGAAACAGAAAACATCTTCAGGTGCGTGCATGTGTTTGTGTGTTTGTGTGTTTGTGTGTTTGTGTGTTTGTGTGTTTGTGTGTTTGTGTGTTTGTGTGTTTGTGTGTTTGTGTGTTTGTGTGTTTGTGTGTTTGTGTGCATGTGTTTTGCGTGCATAAGGACCACATGCTATGCACGAGTTTTGGGGTTCAAGGGCCATGGGCAAACACACACACGCAACTTGCTTGGGCGCAGAGGCCTCACCCACCACCGCGTCGTGCTGTCTCCCGGCGACTGCCTCTTCATCCCGCATGGATGGTACCACAAGGTACAGTTGCAGTGATGGCAGACAAGAAGAGGGAGGGAGGAGGATGGGAGAGGAGAGAGAAATGGCAAGGAAGATGGAGGATGCGTGATGGACGCCACGATGGGTGTCACACTCAGAGACGATGGTTTTTTGTGTTATTTCCCAAACTCACCCTTCTTCACACCATTGTTGCCACTACCAGGTGTTCTCGTTTGGTCGTACAATTGCCGTGAACACGTTCTTCCGCACTCCGTTTGTCTTCAACGCCTCCGTGTGCAGCGCAGACAGACGCGAAGGTACAGCCGTGATGGTGGCGATGATTGTGCATTTCTGTGCGTGGTTGGGTGAACCGATGTGCGTTTGTGTTGTTGTAGGTGTTGGCTTCTTTTCGATCCTCACAAGGACTTGCGTTGTTGATTTGGACAGGGGATGACATTTCCTCCATTCCATTGTCGCAAACCGTACTCTTTTACAGGTGGGAAAACACGCCGATGGCTGGTTGTGTTGTGTTTGTCTTGTGTGCCTGAAGTTCTCTATGCAATCGCTCCTGGCATCACTCACGCACGCATAATATACACACGTACACAGACACACATACGCATACAGACACACACACACACATACAGACACACACACACACACACAGACACACACACAGACACACAGACACACACACACACACACATACGCATACACACACAGACATGCACACAAACAACAGCACAAACTACGCACCCTTCCTCACCCCCGCCCCCATCCCCAACAACACCTGCCAGGCCGACATGTCTCGACATTTTGGATGCGCTCCTGTCTGGTGCGCAAGTGTCGCTCGGGCGGTTCGTGGGCGGGATGGGCTCTTCGTCCGCATCGCAGCAGCAACTTGAGGGTGCGCACTCGTGTCGGCACACGCGTGGACCATGCATGCTTGGTGTCGGGAGGGTGAGGGTTGAGGTGTTTGCAAACGCGGGATATGCGGGAGGAACGAGTGAATAATGATGGTGGTGCGGAAAAGAACCCTTGCCTCTGCTTGTGGTCCTGTGATGGTGAACACACAAGCAGGTACAACTTGTTGTTTCCCCTTGTGTACATACACTCACACTCATAATCTGCCCTTGGCCTTGTGATAGTTTTGTTCAAGCGATTGGATGAGAACGATGACGGGCTGCTGACGCGAGAAGACGCAACCGCGTTCCTCCCATTCCACGTAGACGAATCAGGGGAGTGGCATCAGGCGTCGCCCTCGGATGCCGGCGTCGTCGAGCAAGAAGGTGCAGTTGGGGATTGGGTTTCCATGGGCTGCTCGTGGAGGGGAGGGGGTGTTGTTGTTGATTTGCGCTTGTCATAAACGCAGAGGCCAACAAAACAAACACACACACGCATGCACATTCACACACACACACACACACACACACACACACACACACGCACAAATGCACACACGCATGCACATGCACTTTCACACACACACACACACACGCATCAGGGCCACTGGCATTCAAGCCGGCGTGTCAGGAACTGAATTCCGTTCATCTCTACGCACGGCGGGTGCCCGACTTGGAACAATACATGAAAGCATGAGCTGCATGAAAGGATGGGCTGTAACCAACTAACTGGTGTTTGTGGTGGCGTGCGCTTCGTGCGTGCCATGTGTGCATGTGCGGCCCACGGCGCCTGATATTGAATTTGAATAAAAGTCTTATCACGTTGCTTTCCAAACGAGCAACGGTTTGCTGCTGCCACTGTGTGATGGTGTGTTTATTGGTTGCGTTGGATCCTAACATTGGTCAGCACTTGGCAATCAATTCGTCGCACAGCGTCGGGGACCGGTGCTTCGTTCGCGCCTCCTGTACATCATTGCAGCAGTGTCAATGAGGGGTGGAGCGCGAAACGTCTCATGCCAACAGATGTTGTGTGTGTTGTGTGTGTGTAAAAACACGGCAACGCACCTTGAGTTTCTCCTTCAGGAGCTCCGGGTGTACATCAACGGCCTCCACCAGCGCCGAAAACACGGATTTCTAACAATGACAAACACATGACACATGGTGAGTGCTTGCGGGCTGTGGTAGGATACAAGCACACGAGAGATACAAGCACACAACGAAGCCAGTACATTCAGGTGACAAACAGCACATTTCAAAATGTCACACATACACACACACACACACACACAATGACACACAGACACATGCACCTGAATGCGCGGGTCTGGGTCGTCGAGGTGGAGGATGAGACCACTGAAGATCATCTCAATGTGCGCCTGTCAGAGTCCACGAATGCATGTGCGGTCATCGTGTCATTGTGCCGATGTGTTAGATAGATGTCAGGATGTATGTGCGGATGAAACAAGTGATACAGAGCATGCGGTTGCGCGGTGCGTTGGTGCCATGTACTCACGCGATAGAGCTGCGTATCGTATGCCTGCTTCATAATGTCAAAGTAGGACTTCCACACGCGGCACACTTGGTGCCTGCAAGCATGGACATGTGTGAGCGAAACAACGGCATGAACAGACCGCAATGATGGACACACAAGCACCCGAGCACCGGGCAGCAGCGGCGCTATCACAACAACCGCCACCATCATCAACAAGAATAACAGCAACAAATGAAATGAAACCTGATGTCGTTGTTGCTGTCGTCCATGCGTTTGAGGAGTTCCGGGTACAGCTTGTGAAACGAATCATATCCAGCGTACGAGGCTGTGATGGCGGTGGTAGTGGTGGGCGTGATGGACACCATTGGTGTAGAGAACGTGGAGCAGTACAAGTGCAGATGAGAAAACGGTCAAGCACAAGATAGGGCGAGAGATAGGGGGTTCGTTCATGTGACTGCAAGACACACACACACACACACACACACACACACACACACACACACACACACACTCACGACACACACCACGCAACACACAATTGACCAATGGGATCATACATTTGTATCCAGGCTTGTTGATGATGATGACGCGCTCAAGAATATTGCAGGTGAGAAGGCGTGTTTCCATCTCTTCGTCTTCCAAACACGACATCAGCTGCAAACATGTATGCGCATGGACATTTGGGTGAGTAAAGATGGAATCAACACATCATGAGAGGATTTGTCGGTGAGAAGTGCTTGGCCAGATAGCTCAAATGCTGACGAACATACCACCCATGTCCCCCACCCTAACCTCCAGCACACACACACACACACACACACACACACACACACACTGACCAAGGGCTGGAGGGTGGGCATGCACTGCTCGAGGTGTTCAAAGGCAATGAGATCGCCGTGCACCATCGCCTGTCGACGACGCGAACACACGCACGAGGACAGATGGTCAAGCAGAGGAGAATAAATGAGCAATCAACAATGCACGCAAAGCATGCACTCACACGCACATACGCGCACCCACCGTATCTACACCGGCACTTGCACAAACCAACGTACACCCACGACACCCACGACACCCGCGGCCCTCACGACACCAACGTATACCCACGACACCCACGGCACCCCTCCTTCTCCTTCTCCATCCAATCAGCTGACATACCCAGAGACAGGACATTGCAGCTGTGCGCAGAGCCGCGGCCTTCTCGCCAGCGCGCCACACCAGGTTTGGACAGATGATGTCGTTCACCTGCAGCCGTGACGGTGGTGTGAGAAGTGGAGGGATGTACGGATGTGTGGTGTTGAAGGGATCGATATTACGATTTGTCCCGAGCGCATACAGAAATACACACACAGACACACAGAAGCACACAGACACACACACACACACACAGAGAGAGAGACACACAGACACACACACACACATGCACGCACACACACACACACACACAGACACCGACAGAGCATGCCTGCTCACCACGGGCACGACGTATCGACCAAATGCGTTTGCGGAGTTGACAGTTGCGGGAGCGCTGGCGAGCAGCCGACCAAGCAGGGTGAAGAACGACACGCGCACTGCATGTGGAGCACAATCATGGGATGGTGGACAAGTGGAATGGGTGGGTTGTACGCCATCGTTGAGGGGCTGAATGCCGATGTTCAAGTGCGCGCAACATGGTGTGCCAGCAAGAATGGTGTTCAGGTGACAGCAACATCATATACAAGTGCTAGCATATTGCGTGGCACGTACGTGGGACGTAAACACAGTCCAAGGACACTCATTTTCATCCCCCCCCACACACCCTCGCACCTTCCACGTCCTTGTCTGGATTCGAGTTTGTGATGAAGACGGGCATGAAGACGTCGAGGAGTTGGCCAAGAACAGCGCCGGCCGCACTGAGCAGCGTCGTGAACACCCGCCGCTGTTGGCTGCACACACACATGCACACATGCACAGAGGCAGAGAGATAGAGAAACAGACAGACGGACGGACGGACACACACACACACACACATAATGCACACAGACATAATACACACAGACAGACAGGCCGAGGTGATGGCGAAAGTGTTGTTAGGATGATCATTAAGGGTCGTTGTGGTGATATGATGAATGTGTCATGTGGTGACAACGCCTTGGCAGCATCGCGTGCTCGGGTGCGCACCTGTACTTGGTCCAGCTGTCCGCTGTTGTCGAGAGCGCCTCCAACAGCGGCTTCGTGTGCCGGCGATACAACTCATCCGCAGACTGAACACCCAGGAACACATGTGGACACGCGCATAAACATGTGAGTGAGCTCGCTCGCTCGCGGGGCGAGCCTGCACGTTGCAAGTCGAGCTTCGCCCAGCACACACACACACACACACACATATACACATGCACACACACATAACACCCCCCCCACACACACATAACAAACGCACACACACACAACACACCCACACACATCCACATACACCCACACACACCCACACACATAACACACCCACACACATAACAGAAAGAGCGTGCACATGTTAAGGGACCTGGAGCTGCTGTGCAGTTGCGAGGGACGCGAGTGCAACATCGACGTCCTTGCCAAGTGGGGACGCTGCTTTCACGTTGACTGAACACCACACACGTGGGACGCACACGATGTGAAGTAACATGAGACACGAGAGAAAGCGTGAACGCGTGAATATGCGCATATGTGCACGTACGTGTGTGGTTGTAAGCCGGCATGTTAGCATGTGGAATGACACATTCTCACACGCATGCAAGCCACAAGCACACCATGTACTAACTGAGAGCGTTGAAGAGATCTTGACTGTATGCAGCGCAATCCTCGCCAAGGCGGCCTGAAGGGAAGGGGAGGTAAGAAATAACAGGAGCGCGCGCACGCACACACACACACACACACACCGAGTATGTCCGCGCAATTGCATGCATGGCGAGCAAAACAACAAGGGCTGCTGTGAGATCGGCCACTGTCAAGATGAGAGGGCAAGCAAAGCCAAGGAGTGTGCGAGCGTGCGAGTGCATTGCTTGTATTCTGATACGCGTACGAATGAGGGTGTTGATGGTGAGAACCAGCTCCTCCTGCGTCTCGAAATCCTCGCTCTGGTGTCGTGCAAATGTGTGTGTATGTGTATGTGTGTGTGTGTATGTGTATGCGTGTGTATGTGTTTGTGTGTGTGAGTTGGGGCGACTCCTGAGTCGCCAGGGGGAAGAACGAAGTACATGCACATGTATGCATGGGCACAACAGCTTGTTGGTTGCATATGTACGCGTGCGTTAGTGTGTATGTGTGTGCGTGTACCTGGCAGACGTTGTCGTGTGCGAGTGCACTGACGACGGTGCCAGCGAAGCTCTTCAGGTCATCAAGCTGCGCCGTCTTGAGGAAGAGCCCGACCACAATCTGTAAATGGCACGCACGTGTTGATGGTGGCGGCGGCGACGTGCACGGTAGCAGATTCATCGGTGGTCAGTTCACGACGACACTGCAGAGTTGAACAATGACACGTACAGCTGCAGCAGTGGCAGCGACAGGCAATACCAGGCCGTCCTTCCATCTCTCTTGCTGCTCACCAGGTCCGCGCAGCGGCCGCGCGTCTGCGTATCTGTTGCTGTGAGCGGCGGGATGAGGATGGTTGCCCACGCCTCCACGGAGACAACGCCCCCAATTAGCTCACAGCACTGGCCGCACTGCACACACAATGGTCACGGAGCAATGGCGCGCACACACGTACATTGACACATTTACAATGCAAACACGTACAAACGTGCACACGTTTTCGCATGGATGAGCACCTGTTAGAAGACGCAATGATGTGACAAAGGGCAGCAGGCGATGGAACGAAAGGATCGAGTTACATGACACGGCAATCATCACCAGGCAACGTCAAATCCCACCAGTTGGGCAATATCGTCCTCTTCGTCCAGCACGCCCTGGCACAGTCCATCAAGGACCTTTGGAGACAAACAGGACAGCACCACCAGCCATGAGATTCATGGAGACAACACCACGGGTGCATCAAGCATCAGCGCATATGTCAGGGCTGCAATTGAGCAGCACACGCTTGTTGGTTTTGTTTTGATGACCTTTGCGAGATGCATGGTAACGTGCGAGCCTTCGTATTGCAGGAGTGTGTACAACAGCCGGGCGCTTTGCCTGCGAGAGATGGACGGAAGTCAATCAGGTGTCAGGGTTGTGTGTGGATGTGTGTGTGTGTGTGTGTGTGGATGTGTGTGTGTGTGTGTGTGTGGATGTGTGTGTGTGTGTGGATGTGTGTGTGTGTGCGTGGAAATAGAAGAGGGAAGAGAGAACACCTGAACACGCGTACACACGTTACGCACGCACGCGTGCACACGCATCCATAAACAGCATGTCTCATGCACATAATACCAGCAGCACAGCACGCAACAGCCAGCAACTAACCTGCGGGTGTCTGCGGACCAATCAACAAGGTCCTTCAACAGACCCGGATAAATCTGCACACGAGCAACGTCAGGAGACGCATGAGAAGCAACGGGGCTATTCGATTTTCCCACTAGCGCCGCCCATAGTGAAGAAGACCTCAAGAAAATATCCACGGATAGATATTACGCTGCACACACACACACACACACACACACACAGCACACACACAGCACACACACACACACACATCTCTCACACTCTCACACAACACAGCACAGCACACATCACAAGCGCGCCTTTGAGAAGTTCTGTTGGACGAGGTCGATGCAACCGTATGGAATGTCGCCCGTGTGGGATCCAAACTCAAGCTTCTCTTTCAGCGTCTCCTCGTTCTCTTGCTCATACAGCGTGCCGGCCTGACACGCGCGATGGGTGTGGGTGGTGTATGGTGAGAATATGGGTTTAAGACCCGCCGCCTGCGCCTTTGATCACACGGACAGACAGACAGACAGACACAAACAGACAGATAGACGGAGAGACAAATACAAACCCACACCCACACACGCACGCACACGCACACGCACACCCACACACACGCAGGCAGACAGACAAGCACGCGCACTCGCACCTTCCTGAACTCATCGCGTGCAAGTGTCTGGATCTCCTGCACATCATCCGTTTCACCAGAGAGGAGAATTGGGATGATCTTGTGCCAGTAGCTGTACCGCTCCTTGTACTGTTGCAGCCACCGCCCCGCAATCTGTGCACAGGCAACAGGCATGCGCGCACACCGGCATGTTCGCGTGTTTGTGTTTCGGAGGGTGAGCAAGTTCGAGTTTTGATTGAAGCAATGTAAGTGGTTTGAACATATGCTCTCGCCATAGCACTGCTCTGCATGAGCACATTCATTCACGACCATCACACTCGCCACACACGTGCATGCGTCACCATCACATCCACCGTTGTTGGAAGCAGCATTGAAACGCACCACGTAGAGGGACTTGCGAACGTTTGGGTTGTGATCCATGGTCTTTTGGGCAAGCGACGTGCGAAAATCTTCAAGCATGTCCGAGGAGCCAAACTGGACAACGGATCCGATTGCCCGAATGCACACGTTCCGCACCTGTCGCACGCGCATGTACAGCGCAGTTGTGGGTGTGGTCGTCAAAGTGAGGAGTGAGTGAGGAGCAGTGGTGGTGGTGGTGGTGGTGGAGGTGATGATGATGATGATGATGCGTGTCTGTGTGTGTCTGTGCGTGGTCACCAAACGAGTGATTGTGGCGGCAAGGTCCACACCCATCATTGCCCACACAAGCAAGCATGCACCTTGGCGTGCTGGTGGTTGAGGGTTGCCAGGAGGGGCTTTGCGTACTGCTTCGAGACCATATGAAAGCGATCAGGCACAGCCTTGGCAAGCAGGGCTGATGTTGACATGTGTGCGTGTGTATGTGCGTATGAGAGGTGAAATTGTGTGGCCATGAAAGCACTGATACGCACAGCAGCAGGAGAACCAAACAAGCACACACAATCACACACACACACACACACACACACACACACACACACACACACACACACACACACACACACAACCACGCCCACCTGTGCATCTGCAGCCCATTCGCTTGACCTCCGGAAACGGGTCAACAATTGTTTGCACCAAGACCTGACACGCGGGTGCAGCGCAGAATGGGACGGTGACACACATGAACGGCAGCAATGTGAGAAAACGTGATGGGGCGGGTTGCATGAGCTGGAGGGACCTGCTAACACGCGCGGTTATTCCTTGAAAAGTCTCGTTCAATGCACAGCCACAGCAGTCCATGGCTCTACCATCATTGTCATCCTCACTCCGCCATCACCACCACCACCACCACCATCATCATCGTCATCATATGTCTGGGTGACCTGTGTGAGCTCGTCGACGTAGATGGAGAGGTCGCGTTGGGCAAGAGAAATGACCTTCTCCAGCTGATCCATCATCATCTTCCGCAGCTCCTCCGCGGGCTCCTTGATCTCCTTTTGCCCTGCAGTGATTTGTGGACGTGTTGGCGTTGCGTTGTGCGCGCACAGAGTTGGGTCGGGGGGGGGGCAGGGGAGAGGAGGGGAAGCGACATGGGATGCTTTCTTTCAGCTCCGGGCTGAAAGTGCTGTTCACGGGCGTGTGGGCTGGGTCAAGCACACCCAGCACACTTGGCAGCGAGGGGACAGCAGCAGCAATAGCAGCAGCAGCAGCAGCAGCAGCAGCAGCATACCGAGACGAAGAACATATGCTGGAATAATGTACGGCAGGTAGATGGATGTCTCTGGCTCCAGTGCCAAGAACCTGAAGCAAGAGTAAGAATGTCAAGCGCGCACATTGTCGTTGTTGGGTTATGAATGGTCAACTCAAGCGATGTGCAAGGTGAATGAACCACAGCTGCTTCACGCCAGAGAAGCGATCAGTCGCACATACGCACATGGAGACGGTGTCAATGGCGAGCTCGCGGCACTTTTCCATGGAGTCCTCGTACTTCTTCAGCAGCGGCTTCAGAATCTCGTTGAAGACAGCCTGGGTTCGTGGGCAATGAAGGACACATCACATGTGTCAGCTTGTTTTTAGATGGAGAAGGGGGTTGATAATCGTACGAGCGAGTGCATGTGCACACATCTGCAGGTACGTGTGTGTGCACAGACACAGACACAGACAGACGCGGACAGACAGGAACAGACACATACACACAGACAGATAGACACATACACACAGACACAGACAAAGGCATAGTCGCACGTGAAGGACGCGAGGGCTGAGGTCACTGGACTTCTTCACTGTTGCTTCTTGGATGGCCAGCATGGCGCGTTTGCGCACGAGCCGATTGTCATCGGACAGGCAATTCAGGTCACGCTGGATACCCTATCAGTCCATTCCCAACGACCAAAACAGCAACCAAGGAAGCGAGCAAGCGGCAACGTGCGCGGGTTCATACCATGCATGAGGTGACCTCGTACAGCGACCGGAAGCGATAAGTTTGCACAAGACGAGCAGCACCAACCACCAGCAACCAGCAACACAACGTGTCCAAGCCACTCGCAGCTTGCCTCCCAACTCCTTGAACAGCACCTCCTACCTGCAACACAGCCTTGCACGTTGCCTTGTCCTCGTCACTCAGGTCTGTGCTCACGCGAAAGAGCTCCAGTGGAGCCTCTTCCCTCACATCACCATGCTCGTTCATCATCCCTCTTGTCTGCACGGTTGCTTGTTGCTTGTTGCTGTTTGTTGGTTTGTGTGCGCGTTGTGGTCAAGGAGAAAGGGAAACTGTCAGGTCGACGCGCATTTTTTCACTGCAAACTGCAATTCATAGTTGTGTGTGTGTGTGTGTGTGTGTGTGTGTGTGTGTGTGTGTGTGTGTGTGTGTGTGTGTGTGTGTGTGTGTGTGTGTGTGTGTGTGTGTGTGTGTGTGTGTGTGTGTCAGGTCTGTGCTTCTTTGCGTCAACAAATGTGTACTGTTTTGAAAGGCATGTGCACGCAAGAAAGTCAACACGCCCACACGCCCGCCGTCAGAATGAAAAGCAATGCACACATTGACACACACACACACAAGGCCACAAAACCAAAACATAACGCACTGCGTTTGTTATGCACACAAGTCACATCAAACCACCACACAAAGCAGGAAAAAGCACCAGCAACACGCGCTCAACGCCACACTCGCTCACAACCACAAAGACTTACATTACACACACACACACACGCACGCGCACACACTCGCTCACAACCACAAAGACTTACATTACACACACACACACACACACTCCTCATGAGTGCAGCATGGGCTGCACAAACTTGCGGGCGGCATCCTTCTTTGCCTGGGGCTTGGCAGACTCAATCTTCTTGAGCGCCTTGCTCGTGTCCAGCTTGGCGCTGAGGAGCAGCTGCCCAACAAGGCCAATGGTGCGGTGAAACGAAGCCAGGAAGGACGGCGCATCGTCCCGCTTCATCTCGCCGACAGCAACGTGCGCCATCGAGTGCAGCAGCAGCGGCAGCAGCGTGTGCACATCACGCAGGTACTCCCGCCGCACCACAAGCTGCTGCTCAGCCTCAACAAACAGCATGCTCTTGCGGTACGCGTTGCCCTCGTACGCATTGTTGAGATCTGCACGCACGCCAGGCAGCTGCGATGCAGCAAGCACGTGCACGCGCGGGTACCCATGCTGCGCGGACAGCCACTCGCACACGGCCGCGCCAACTTCCATCGACAGCACCTCTGCCGGCTCCAGCTCCTCCTCAGACACAACCACGGGCTCATCGCCTTCCAGCGTGAAGTCCTTGCACAGGTCGTCCGCCAGGTGCGCGGGCGCACGCGTCTTGCCCGTGGAGCGCAGCATCGCCTCAATCGCCTGCAGGCGCGAAAACACGCCCGTCGAGGCAGCAGACTCCCGCAGCCGCTCAGACGTGATGGCGTCGCCGGGACCGTAGGCCGGTGCAGAGGGGCCCTCCGCAGACAGCTCCGCCTCCTCGTCCTCATACTCCTCCTCATCTTCGTCGTCATCCTCGTCCTCCTCATCGTTGCTGTCAAACGTGGCAATGTCTGCCTCCTGCTTCTTCTCCTCCTCCTCCTCAGCAGCACCTGCCGACTTGCGCTGTTCCGCACCATCACTGCCATCGCTACCGCGAGTGGTGGTCGCTGCTGTGGCGAGCCGCGAGTCGCCACCATCGCCAGTGGACACCGCCTTTGTGCTGCGGCGGCGCCGCTGGCGGCGCTTCTGGATCTGCTGTGCACGCCGGGCCATGAGGGCAGCCTTCTGCCGCTGCTTCTCTGCATCAAGCAGCTGCGTGAGGTGCGCCTGGTTCTTGCTGAAGCGGTCCAGCACCGCAGAGCTGTCCTCGTCCGTCAGCTGGGCCAGCTGCTCGTACTGCTTCTTCATGTGCATCTTCGACTCCTCCTTGATCTTCTCCCGCACGGCGTTGAGCTCCTCAATCTCCTTGCTCATCCGCTCGCGCTCCTCCTGCTCCTCCTGCAGAATCGCCTGCTGGTGCTCGGCCAGCAGCTCCTTGAGCATGTCCTGCTGCTGTTGCTCCAGCTCTTCAAACTGCTCCCGCCGCTGCTGCTCAAGCTCCTGCCGCATGCGCTCCAGCTCCATCGCCCGCTGCTCCGCCTGCGCGCTCTCGTCAGACTGCGGCGACAGGTCGCGCAGCGCCTCTGCAAACTCCTGGTAGTGCTGCTCCTTGCGCTTGAGCAGCATCTCCGTCAGCTTCAGCTCCAGCCGCGCATTGGTCGCCGTCTCCGCCTGCGCAAGCTCGTTCTCATACTCGCTCTCCAGCTCAGACACGTCCAGCTTGTACGCCTGCTCGATGTAGCGCCGCGTCTCCTCCGCGGCCTCCGGGTCGATGGACGCAGACTCCACCATAAAGTCGGCCATCTCCTTCTCGTACCGCGTTGCGCGCTCGTCAAGCCGCGCCTCGTGCCGCTCCTGGATCGTTGCCTTGAGCTCCTTCAGCGCCACGTCCTGCTCAGCCTCCACCTGCTCACGGATCTGCTGCAGCTCCTGCGCGTGGCGCCGCTGCAGCACAGAGGCGACCACCGTCTCCGCGTCCTTGCCCGTCTGCTGCAGGGAGGTAACCATCGCCTCCCGCTCGGCCTCCCGCACCTGCTCGTGCTTGAGCGCCTCTGTCTCCTGGCGCTGCGTGGCAATCTCGCGCTGCAGCTCCACCTCCTGCCGCTGCTCCTGCAGCTTCTTGCGCTTCTGCTTGCGCTCCGCCAGTTTGGCCTTGATCAGCTCCTGCTGGCGGTTGCGCTCCACGTCCATGCGCGCCGACAGCGTGTTGAGCTGCTGCTCGTGCTGCTTCATGAGCCGGTTCATTTCCTGCTCGGAGAGGTCAGGCCGTGCGCGCACCTCGGCCTCCAGCTTGGAGCGCTTCTCCTTGAGCACCTGCTGCTTGCGCTCCTCCAACGCATCCAGCGCACGCTTCTCCTCCTCCTCGGCCTCCTTGCGCAGCTTGCCTTCAAGCTCCTTCAGCTCCTGCTCGTGGCGCTTGCGCAGCTCAGCCTCCATGCGCTGCTGGTTCTTCTCCATGGCCTCCAACTCCATCACGCTCTCCGGCGCAACCTCCAGCTCGGGCACCTCAAGCTGCGACACCTCCACCGCCTCGGACACGGCAACGGTCAGCGCCTCCTGCTTCTTCAGGCGCGTCTTGGCCAGCCGTTCCTTCATGCGGTTCATCTGCTGCTTGTGCTGGTCGCTCAGGTGCTGGCGCGCCTTGTTGCGTCGCTCGTCAAACTCCGCAGCCATCTTCTCCGCATCATCCTCACTGCCGGCCGTCGCCTGCACCATCGCCCTGGTCGCCTCTTGCAGCTTGTTCAGCTCGGTCGTGTTGAGCTGCTTCACCATGCGCGCGGCCAGCACCTGCTCCTTGGCGTCCTCCTCAGCCTCAACCACGCGCTTGCGCTGGCGCGCACGCGCCTTGGCCCGCTGCTTGATCTTGTCCTGTCGCAGGCGGCGCTCCTCGCGTGACAGCGCCTTGAACTCGGGCGTGGACTGCAGGGCCTCAAGCTCCTCGCGCTCCTGCTGCGCAGCCTCTGTGTCAATCTTTGTGCACCGCTTGTCCTTCCTGCGCTTGGCAGCCGCACTCATGCGCTCCCGCACAGCCTTGCGCAGACCCTGATAGTGGGCAGCAATCGCCTGCACCCGCGCCATGCCTTCACCGCTCTCCTCGCCGCTCGTCTGCGTCTCCGCAACCTGCATCAGAATCTGCAACCGGCGGCACAGGAAGCATTGCGCGAAAAAGTTGGTGGCAAGGGGGGGGGGGGACGGACGGGGTGGGGCATGTGATGATTGGGTGAGTAAATGCGCTTCACTCACAAGAGGAGGCCATCGTTGACAAGGATACCAATGTTGGGGTATGTACAGCATGCACAAGGCAATGGCACAACGCATAAGCACAAACAAACAACAAACAAACAAACAAACAAACAAACAAACGAAACACAAGCAAGCAAGCAAACTAACAAAAAAACGAACAAACAACAAAACAAAACACAAAAACAAACAGCAAACACACAAACAAAACACACAAACGCGCAAACACACCAGACGCTCTGTGTCGACGTCTGCCTTGCTGAGCTGGGCATCACCCTTTGCTGCCTCTGCGGCCATGGTGGCTGCATCGCGACGGGTGCGGTGGATCATGTTCTCTGCAGCTGCCCGCGCCTGCTGGTACTCCTCAGAGTTCTCTGCGATGGTGTCAAACTTATCGCCGAGCTGGCTGCGGATGAACGCAGACATGACGGCCTCCTCCTCGGGCGTGAACGGGTCTGTTGCCGACCCCGCAGTGTCGCCCTCCTTGCCGTCATCGCCGGCGCTGTCCAGCTGCTTCTCGAGGTCATCAAGCATCTTGTTCACCAGCGTGGTCTGTCCTTCCTCCGTGTCAAGCGTCTGCAGGTCGCCGAGTCCAGCAAGGGATGTCTTGCCAAGCTCCTCTGCCTCTGCCACGTGCTGCTGTTCCCGCTTGGCCAGCAGCCGCTGCGTGCTCACCATCAGCTCCTGCTTCCCTGAGTCGTCGCCCTCCTCGTCTCCGCTCACGGCTGTGGGGGATGCTGGGCTCGCTGCATCGCTCCCTGCCTTGCTGCTGCCGCTGCTCAGCATGGCACCAGCACCGGCACCGCTTCGGCGTCGAGCGCCAGCCGCCAGTGCGTCGCCGCTGCGCTGCTTGCCAACGCTTGCAGGCGTTGCTGCCAACGCATCCTCCACGCGCACCCGGGATCCCAGGCGCTTCAGTAGCACATTCACGCGGTCGATGAGCTCAGACTCCTTTGAGGCGCGTGCGGCCATGCGCTCCTGCTGCGACGCCGTGAGCGAGGCGGATGTCTCGACCATCTCCCGCAGGCTCTGCTTGAGCTCCTCCACGTCCATGTCCTTCACCATGAGGTGCAGCTCTTCTGTCTCCTTGGTGATCTTCTGCAGGTGGTCTGTGATCTGCCGGTCGTGCTCCGTCAGCTCCGCATCCACCTTCTTCGAGTAGTCGTTGAGGTGGTCAAACAACTGCCGCACCGTCAGGCCCTCCAGCAGGTTGGGCTCGTATCGGATGCGCTCTAGCACGTGCCCGTCTGCGGCGGCCAGCAGATACGGCGACACCGCACCCTTGGTCAGGTACTGCGGGCGCGTCGTCTTCTGCCGCTCCTCGGCCCACTTGGCCGGGCGGTACATCAGAAGCACGATGGAGCCAACCGCGATGATGGCACCCAGCACACTCAGCACAGCCGCAACAATGGTCAAGTCCGGCTCCTGCGTCGTGGATGATTTGGAAGCGCCCACAACCTGCAGGTTCTGTGCCGTCGCAGCCTGGATGCTCTCCGTGCATGTGCTGCCCTCCTCCATCACACGTACAAACGTGCGAGCGTTCGGGCGCGCGTTGTCGTAGAACACATACACGCCAGCGTCTTCAAACGTGTGCACAAACGAGTTGACGGGGGCCTCGCTCTGCTCCACCACCGTCGCCAGGGCGCGGAACGCACCGTAGTCAAAGTCCGGGTTGCTGTTGAGCAGGTGGTCCTTGTCGTAGCGCGGGAAAGACGCTGGCTCCGTGTCGCGGCTCAGCGAGAACGTCACCGCCTGACCTGCTTCAATGCAGATGAGCGGGTTTGGCATGGCCGGGCTGCCGGCGGTGGTGGACACACCTCCGCTGCCATCGGCACGACGCACTCGCCTCGCCGCCCCCACCGCAGCAAACGCGGCAGCCCCAGGAGCAGAAGCAGGGGCGAAACTCTCTCCACCAACACCAACACCAACACCAGCACCAGCATCAACGCCGCCAGCAGTGAGCTTTTCAGCAGTGACCGTGGCGTTGTCGCCGCTGTTGCTGTCGCTGCTGCTGCGGCGGCGTCGAGCCTCGAGGGAAACACCACACAGGTTGAACCAGTACGTGTCGTCAGCAAAGACGCCAACCACGACGGTATCATTACCAACGACATCCAATGCCGTCGGTGTGATGCGTGCTCCGGGTGCACACGTGCCGCGCAAGCCAGCGCACTCGCTGAACACGTAGGCGACGGTTCCCAGGGAGTCGATGAGCTGGTAGGTGCCGTCATTGGCGCACTTGAGAGACGACTGCAGGGCCTTGCACGTGGTGTTGCAGACCTCCTCCACCAGCGCGTACTGCGTGCACTCGCACACGCCCAGGTTGGCGTTGATGCTCTTCACGTTGGTGGCACCCCGGCACTCCTCGGCGCACACGGACTGCACTGCAGCGCGGTTGTTGGGGTTGACGCAGATGCGGTTCCCAAACAGCACCTGGTTGGTGGCGCAGGGCGCGAGCGTCTCCGGCTGGCACGACTCCCGGCTGTCGCCCTCGCTCACCTCCTTCCCAGTCTCGTCGAAGAACACAAAGCCAGACCGGCACGTGCACTCGCCGTCACCGCGGGAGAAGATGCGGTTGTTGCCGTAGCAGATGCACGATGTGGCACCGGCTGCGGAGTACGCGCTGGACCCGCACGGCAGGCAGGCAGCCTGCGCCGTCTCCGGGTTGTACGTATTGGCCGGGCACGGCTTGCAGGCGTCCAGGGAGGTGCTGCCAGCTGCGTCGTTGTACGTGCCTGCGGGGCAGGCCACCGGCAGCGCAGTGTTGTTGGGGCAGTAATGGCCAACAGGGCACTCGCAGTAGTAGGACGACTGCAGCGTCAGGTCGCTCTGGTCAATGTCGCCGTACACGTACGTGGGGGAGTTGGTGTTGCAGTCCACCTGCGCCATTGTTGCGTCCACGCCAGCGGCGAGCGGGCAGAAGTAGCCCGTCGGGCAGTTGCCGCACTGCACCAGGTCGTCATCGTCCAGGTACGCGTACGTCCCCGCGGGACACGCCTCGCAGGCCGTGGACACTGTTGCCAGGTCGTTTGCGTCAACCACCGCCTGCGAGTTGCCGCGGTAGCCGTAAGGGCACTGCCGCTGCGACGAACTGCCCTCGGGGCAGTAGTACGAGGCGACACACGCCGTGGGATCGGTGCTGCCGGCGGGGCAGTAGTGCGACCCAGGGCAGATGACGGGGGCGGACGCCTGCGAGGGGCAGTAGTATCCGCCGGGGCAGGTCGTGGCCTCCGTGGCGCCAGCGGGGCAGTAGGTGCCGGCGGTGCAGGGGATGAGCTTCATGCGGTCGTTGGCATCGAGGCCGGGGCAGCGGAACCCGCCCGGGCACAGCGTGCAGCCGTCCTCAGAGCCGAGGCCAGTGCCGCTGAAGCGTGAGCCGTCTGCGCAGGGGATGGGGCTGTCCACGCCCTGGGGGCAGTAGTGATCTGGGATGCAGGAGAAGAGCTCGTACGTGGACGTGCCGCTTGTCTCGCAGATGTAGCCCGCGGGACACTCGATGCAGTCCAGCGCATCCTCTGCGCCAGTTGCGTTGTTGTACGTGCCGACAGGGCACGGCGTTGGGTCGTCGCCCTCGAGGCAGTAGTAGCCCGTTGGGCACGGCTCCGGGGTCACCGTGGCGCTGCCGCACGTGAAGCCGGCAGGGCAGCTCGCGCACTGGCTCAGCTGCTCCGCGCCAGAGGTGTCCCGGTACGTGCGCGCGGGGCACGGCGTGGGGTTGATGGTGCCGGCCGGGCAGTAGTGGCCCGCGTCACAGAGGCGGGCGGTGCCGTCCTCAAGGTCTGGCGTTGGGCTTGGGCTCGCGGACACGCACACGTACCCGGCAACGCAGTCGCCCGTGATGCGCCCCTGGGTGCAGTACTTTCCGCCAGGGCACGGCGGGCACTCGTACGGGGAGCTCTCCGCGCCAGTCAGGCCCTCGCCCTCGTTGTACGTGCCGTCCGGGCATACGGTGGGCAGCGACGAGTTGGCGGGGCAGTAGTGCTCTGCGGGGCAGATGACGGGCTCCTCCGCGCCATTGTTGCAGTAGTAGCCGGCGGGGCACAGCTTGCACGTTGACTGGCGCAGCTGGTCCTGGTACGTCCCATCGGGGCACTGGGTCGGGCTCGGCGACCCTTGCGGGCAGTACGAGCCGCGCGGGCACTGGTAGTTGGACGGCGTTGCCAGGGCATTCTCCACACCCGAGGGGCAGTAGTAGCCCGCAGCGCAGGGGTTTGTTGGCGCCGTGAGCCCCGTGCGGTCGCAGTAGTACCCAGGCGTGCACAGGTCGCAGTCGTCCAGGCCCTCGCCCTGCTCGTTGGCGCGGAAGCGGCCAGCAGGGCACTTGGTCTCCGTGATGGCCCCCTGCTCGCAGTAGCTGCCGGCCGGGCACTTGTGGGCAGCCGGCGTGGCCGTGCTCTGCCCCTGCGGGCACAGGTAGCCCGCGGCACACTCGCCCGTGGGCGCAGATTCGCCGAGACCACTGCAGTAGTGTCCGGCAGGGCACGTCGTGCACTCGCCGCTGCTGCGCAGGCCATCGCCGGCGCCGTACGTGCCACCCGGGCACGGTTGCGGCGCCACGCCTTCCTCGCAGTAGTAGCCAATGTCGCAGTCCTCCGTGTCGGAGAGGCCGAGCGTCAGGCACTGCTGCCCGGCAGGGCAAGGCAGGCACGCGCTCTGGCCAGGGCTTGGCTGGTACGTGTGCAGCAGGCACAGCAGCTCTGCGCCCGTGCCACCTGGGCAGTAGTGCCCCGCGGGGCAGATGTACCCGCCCGTGGTCTGGTTCAGCTCGTCGTTGAACGCAAACGCAACCGGGTCTGGCACGGTCGCGCCTTGCTTGCACACAAAGCCGGGGTCGCAGTCAACGGCCGGCTGCCCCTGCACGCAGTACTGGCCAGGGCCACACAGCTCGCAGTCGTCCACACGGGACTGCCTCGTCTCTGTGGTGGCGCTCCCTTCCGGGCAGGCCACCGGTATCTCGCTGCCGGCAGGGCAGTACGAGCCCACGGGGCACTCGTCGCCCGTGGTGCCGTTTGTGGGCTGCGCTGAGCTTGCGCCGCCTGTGCAATAGAAGCCTGCGTCGCAGGGCCCAGTCGGCGCGGTGAGGTGGGCCTCCTCGCAGTACATGCCGGCTGTGCATGGCGTGCAGTCGCTCTCCTCGTCCAAGCCGAGGGCGTTGCTGAACGTGCCAGCCGGACACGGGTACTCCTGCTCGAAGCGCGTGCCGGCGGGGCAGTAGTAGCCAGCGGGGCACGCCACCAGGTACGGGTTGGTGACGGGCGCAACGGTGGCGTTGCACACGTAGCTTGCCGGGCACTGCTTGCAGTCTGCCTGGCCGTCCTCGTCCTGGTAGCTGCCAGACGGGCACGAGACGCGGTCGGGCGTGCCTTCGGGGCAGTAATACCCGGGCGGGCACAGCTTTGAGCCCGGCGTCGTGCTTGTTTGGCCTTCCTCGTTGCAGTAGTAGCCCGCGGCGCAGGGCTCGGGGTCCGTGGTGGCCTGGCTCACGCACGCGTGGCCGATTGGGCAAGGCAGGCACGCGCTCACGTTGGTGGCCATGGTCACGTTGGAAAAGGTCCCCGCCGCGCAGGCAATCGGGGTGGAGCTGCCGGCAGGGCAGTAGTAGCCCGCGGGACAGACTTCCCCAGTCACGCCATCCGTGGGCATGGCGGTGAGGGCAGCGCCGTAGCACAGGAAGCCGGGCGCACACTCCTCGTCGCTGGCGGCCAGACCCTCGCTCGTGCACGCACGCCCCGGCTCGCACGGCGTGGGTGTGAAGGAGGCGGTGGGGCAGAAGTAGCCGCGAGGGCAGCGGCCGCCAAGGCCGATAAACGGACACACGGAGGGGTCGGTTGAGTTGATGGCGGGGCGGGCGGTGGAGGCGCCCTGCTGGCAGTACCAGCCCTCGTCGCAAGGCCCCGTTGGCTGTGACAGGCCAAACTGCTCGCAGTAGTAGCCAGGGGGACACGGGATGCAGTCTTCCACGGCCTCAGCGCCCGTGACATTGTTGAATGTCCCGGGCGGGCACTCATACTCCGTGGCAAACGTGGTGTTCTGCGGGCAGTAGTGGCCCTCGGGACACGGGTAGCCGGCAAACGCAGAGGTGCCTGCGGGGCAGTAGTAGCCAGAGGGGCACGCAAAGCACGCGGCCTGCCCCTCAATCGGGTTGTATGAACCCGCTGGGCAGTCGAATGGCGAGGACGTGCCGCTCGGGCAGTAGCTGCCCGTGGGGCAGATGGCGCCCGTCCCCGAGGCGCTGGTGGGCTGAGCCGTGTCCGCGCCAAGCGTGCAGTACCAGCCCGCATCGCAGGGACCCGTTGGCTCCGTGAGGTGCTCGCTGCCACAGTACATGCCAGGCAGGCAGTCAATGCACTCGTTGACCGAGGTCAGGTGCGTGGTGTTGGAGAACGTGCCAGCAGGGCAGGCCTGCGGCGTGGATGTGCCCTGCGGGCAGAAGTAGCCTGCGGGGCACGGGCCGCCAACGCCAGAGAACTCGGCCTGTGGCGCGGGGACATCCACGCCCGCCGCGCAGTAGTACCCGGCGTCGCACAGGCCGCCGCCGGCATCGACGAGGGACTCCGCGCCGGTGAGGGAGCAGTAGTAGCCGGGGTCGCACGGCGTGCAGTCGCCCGCAGATCGTAGGCCCGTGTTGCTGCTGTATGTACCCGCTGGGCATGGAACGGCGTCAATGCCGGTGCCGCTTGGGCACCAGTGGCCCGTGCGGCACTCGTCCACATCGTACACACCTCCCGGCGTGCTGAGGAACGGCAGCCTGCGCGTGCACTGGTAGCCAGCAGGGCACGTATAACACGCGGCTGCGCCCGTGTGGTTGGTGAATGTGCCGTTGTCGCAGGCCACAGGGAAGGCCGTGCCGAGCGGGCAGGCGTGGCCCTGGGGGCACACGTCGCCGTCGCCAAGGTGCGACGTAGCATCCGACGGGTTTGGCAGGTCAAGGCCTTCAAGGCAGTAGTGGCCTTCGTTGCATGGTGCAGTTGGCTCTCGCAGGCCCACTGTCTCGCAGTAGAAGCCAGGGGTGCATGGGGTGCAGCCCACTGACGACTGCAGGCCCGTCTGGTTGTTGAACGTGCCGCGCGGGCAGGGCGACTCAAACTGGTGCCGGGTGCCTGCGGGGCAGTAGTAGCCTTGTGGGCACAGCCCGCCACCCTCAATGGCCAGCATGGGCACGGACGTCACGCTGCCGCCATCGCAGTAGTAGCCGGCAAGGCAGTCGCCCGTCGGAGCGGAGAGGCCCGTTGTCTCACAGTACTGGCCCACGGGGCACGGCGTGCACTCGGTCACGTTCTTCAAGCCGCCTGTGGGCGCATACGTGCCGGCTGGGCAGGGCTGCTTGGTGTGCGAGCCTTCGGGGCAATAGCCGCCAGCGGGGCACGGTGTTGGCGTCGTTGTACCATTGCTGGGACAGACGAAGCCTTCCAAGCACGGTAGGCAGGACGAGGCTTGTGCGCTGGGCTGGAACGTGCCAGGCTCGCACGGTGTCTGGTGCGGGCTGCCGGCCTTGGTGTAGTGGCCGGGAGTGGTGGGGAACTGTGTCGCCACAGTCGCACCGCCAGTACAGTAGTACCCAGCGTAGCATTCACCTGTGACCGCGGTGAGGAGGCGATGAAACACAGCAACGAGAGAGAGTGTGTGTGTGCATGTGTGTATGTGTGAGAGTGAGAGAGAGAGAGAGAGAGAGAGAGAGAGAGAGAGAGAGAGAGAGAGAGAGAGAGAGAGAGAGAGAGAGAGAGAGAGAGAGAGAGAAGATTGGGGGGGGGGGGTGAGCGAGGGTGAGGGCGGAACAGTGGAACGAGGGTGAACGTGCATGGTGAAAGTCGCAAGGGACAGAAAGTAAGCGAGAACGCAGAGACGGCAAGTGAGAACGCAGACAGGAGGCAAGCGAGGCATTGGGACAAGGATGATGTGGTACACCCAAACAATGGCACACTGCAACAGTTCGAGCACGATGGGGCTAACCTGTCGGCTCGGGCTTGTTGCTGCCTTCGCAATAGTAGCCGGCTGGACAGTCGACACAATAGCTGGCATCGAGAGCACCAGAGGTGTTGCTGTATGTGCCTGCTGGGCATGATACGGGCTGGATGGAACCAAGCTCACAGTAGCCGCCTGGTCAGAGGTGGCAGCGAACAAAACAAGCGGCAAAGAGTAAGCTCAGGAAGCAAGGGGTGAGAAGAGACAGGTAAGAACAAGACAGCAGCGAACACACACACACATGCACATGCACGCAAACACACACACACACACGTACACGCACGTACACACGCGTGCACATGCACGCCCGCACACACGCAAACACACACACATGCACACGCGTGACGTTATCACGATGTCAAACCAAAGGACGAAACAAACGCACACTGACCGACACATCACGCAAGCGCACAAGGGACACACAAACACACGTACCTGTGGGACAGAGGTCACCGGTAACGCCGTCGGTTGGGGCAGATGAACGTGCGCGGGCAATGCAATAGAAGCCGGCCTCGCACAGGCCCGACGGCTCCGTGAGACCCATGTCGCTGCAGTAGCGGCCGGGCGGGCACGACAAGCAGCTGGAGCTCAGCCGTAGGCCCGTGCTGTTGGAGTACGTGCCCAGCGGGCAGCTGGACGGCTGGTCCGAGTTGGTGGGGCAGTAACGGCCAGCCGGGCACACGATTGGGGTCACCGTGGCCTGGGTTGGGCAGTAGTAGCCCGCAGGACACACGGCACAGTCGCTGCTCGACTCCGCACCCGTGTAGGCCAGGTAGAAGGCAATGGGACACGGGTCCGTGTGCGGGTCAGCCGTGCCTTCCTCGCAGAAGTAACCAGCAGGGCAGTCGCCAACAGGCGCCGACAGCGCCGTGTCGTTGCAGTACATGCCTGAACATTCAGCGAGAGGTGTGCAAGGGGGCGTGTCAGCGTTGAAAACGAGAGGGAGAGTAAGGTGTGCGTGTGCGGGTGCGTGTGCGTGTGTGTAAGAGAATTGAAGGGAAGAAGTTGACGCAAGATTCACAAAGGATGAGCAGAGGGTTTGTTGCTTTGCTGCTTTGTTGCAAGCACGAAGCAGAGCGTGCGTGTGCGTTAGAGCAAGAAAGCGACGACGTAATGCACAACCACACATACACACACGCAACACAAGACGCACGCACGCACAACCTGGGAAGCAGAAGTCATAATACACGAGAACAACCGAAGCATGCAGTCAGAATACACACCTCGCGGACAAGCGATGCAGTGATCGGAGTCCTCAGCGCCAGTGAAGGGGAGGTAAGTCCCTGCTGGGCAGGGCTGGGGCGAACTGTTGATGTCACCAGCAAGGCAGTAGTAGCCGGCCGGGCACGCGTCGTCCACCAAATCAGGGGCATGGTCGCGGCCAGCCTCGCACGTGACGCCAGCAGGGCACACGTGCTCCGATAGCATGATTGTCTCGGTTGTGCCATTCAGCGGGCAGTAGTACCCAGCCAAGCACGTCTGAAAAAACAAAACCAGTAGGTAACACAACGCGCATCGCGGCATGAGCAAGAAATAAGTGGCAAACGTGAGCTACTCGTCGAAGCACAACGCACAACAGCTCTCCATCCACGCGCACACATGAAACACACTGAACACACTGAACACACAGATCTAGAAACACACATGAAACACACGCAAACACAGAAGCAATCACCGAAACAGGCACACACATACGTACACACATTCACACACACACATCCTTCCAGGATATACACACGCACACACATCCTTACAGAGTGTACACACGCACAGACACAGACACAGACACACACACACACAAACACACAGACACACAAACACACACACACACCTGGCAGGCCTGGGCACCAGCTGCGCTGTACGTGGATGGCTCGCAGATGGTTGGCTCGGTCATGCCCGTGGCCGGGCACTCGTACCCAGCATCACAGGTGGTGCACTGTGACTCAAGCTGCAGGCCCTCCTGTGACGAGTACGTGCCGGCCGGGCACGGCGTGTCTGTTTGCGGGTCTGTGGACGCTGCTGGGCAGTAGTGACCCTCTGGGCACACAAGGCAGTCCTCCACACGCACCAGCCCCGTGGCAGCGCCGTACGTGCCAGCAGGGCAGGCAAACTGCGTGCTGTACTGCGTGCCCGCGGGGCAGTAGTACCCCTGTGGGCAGGTGTTGGACACGGCTGAGTCACCACCCGTGCAGTACGACCCCTTGGGACACTCCGTGCACTCGTCGGCGTCCTTGAGGTTGGTCAACGTCGAATACGTGCCTGCGGGGCAGTCAAACTCAGTTGGGTAGCGGGTGCCCTCTGGGCAGTAGTGGCCGGCAGCGCACGACACAGGCACTTGGTCCGTGCCGCCTGTCCCAGAGTAGCACGCCTTGCTCGCAGGACACGGCATGCAGTCGTCCTCGGTCGTGGCGTTGTGGAAGTTGAAGTATGTGCCTGCAGGGCAAGGGTTCTGCGTGGACACAGACGTGCCGAGTGGGCAGTAGTGGCCAGTGGCGCATCCTTCTGTTGGCGTCACCGTGCCCGTGGAGGGGCACGTGTGCCCTGCCCAGCACTCCAAGCAATCCGTATCCGCGCCGCGGCCCGTGTACGACTGGTACGTGCCGGCTGGGCACGGCTCGGGCACGGTGGACCCTTCCACGCAGTAGTGGCCCTCAATGCACGTTTGACAGAACGACGAGTCCTCGGCGCCAGTCTCGTTGTTGAAGGAGCCCACAGCGCAGTCCGTTGGCACCGACACGCCAGGCTCGCAGTAGCTGCCGCGCGGGCACAGCAGTGGCGAGCTGCTGCCGGCGTCGCAGTAGTGCCCGCTTGGACACAGCTTGCACTGCGACACCAGCGAGATGCCACGCCGGTCGTTGTACGTGGTCGCTGGGCAGGGAACAAACGAAGCCTGTGCGTGTGCGTGCGTGTGTGTGTGTGGATGTGTGTAAACGCGTGTAAATGCATGTGTGAATGCGTGCATTTGTTGTTGTTGTTGTTGTTGTTGTTGTTGTTGTTGTTGTTGTTGTTGTTGTTGTTGTGTGTGTGTGTAGGTAAGAACAGTGGGGGAACGAGAGTGTTTGTTCTTACTCGCCGAGGTCTCGCGCAACAAGCAATTGTGCATGCACGGCCCCCCAAACAACAGAAACAAAAGCCCACTCACGTTGCAGTAGTAGCCCTCTGGGCAGAGGTCGTTGGAGCTCAGCACGCCAGTGCCTGCTGGGCAGTAGTAGCCAGGTGGACAGCGAAGACAGTCGTCCACGCTGGCGGCACCCTGCGTCGGCATGTATGTGTACTGCGGGCACACGACAACATTCAGGCCATCCGGGCAGTAGGAGCCGGCAGGGCACAGGTAGCGTGTGTCGTTGGCGTTCTGTGACCCTGACGGGCACGCATACCCGGCGTTGCACTGCAGACACGCTGTTGAGTTGGCGACGCTGTATGTGCCAGCAGCGCACACCACAGGGGCGATGGCCGCATTGGAACACTCGTACCCAGCAGGGCACACCTGTTCAGTTGTGTCAGACGTACATTCGCAAACAACACCGTGAGGCAGTGCATTCACAGCACATCAAGCAACGATGGGGTGTCACGGCGGCCACGGTGAAGCACCGCATACCATCGCCATGCTCTACATCCTTCTTGAACAAACAACAACAACAACAACAACAACAACAACAACAACAACAACAACAACAACAACAACAACAACAACTTAAACAACAACAACAACAACAACAACAACAACAACAACAACAACAACTTAAACAACAACTTAAACAACAACAACAACTTAAACAACTTAAACAACAACAACAACTTAAACAACTTAAACAACAACAACAAACCCCCAATTAAGAACTAGCACGCACTGCGAAACGTTGCCTCGAACCCCCCCCAAAAAAAAAAAACACAAGACAAAGAACCACAGACGCACCGTGCACTCTGTGCTATGTGCTGCGCTGTACGATCCAGGTGGACAAGCGATGGGCTCTGAGGCTGTGTTGGGGCAGTAGCTTCCGGCAGGGCAGCCCTGAGACGTGTTCGCCACAGCACAGGTGCGAGGTGAGGTGGTGATGCACGAGCAGCGTGAACAGAAAAAAAAAAAGCGTTGGGAACAGGAAAACCAATCCATGTCGCGGCATAAAACCGAACAGTGTACCACAAAGACTTTCAGACTCGACGACAAGTGACCGCAAGAACCTTACCGTGCACTCTGTCTGTCCGGCCAGAGAGTAAAACCCAGACCCGCATGTGATCTGCAGGTCGTCGTAGATAGAAGGGCACGCAAACCCGGCACGGCATTCTGTGCAGTTGACTTGCCCGCCAACCGAGTATGAGCCTGCCGGGCAGTCCTGCGTGGCGTCCGTGGCTGTGTCCTTGCACGCCTTGCCCTTGGGACAGGTTGTACAGTACGTGGAGCCCGCAACCGCATAAGTGCCTGGTGCACACGTGATGCTGCTGTCCGTTGTTGGCACGGGGCAGGCCTCACCAGCAGCGCAGTCGGTGCACATGGTCGCATTCGGCCCAGAAAACGTGCCGGGCAGGCACGGGAAGTTCTGGCTGCCATCAACAGCAGGGCACGCCCATCCAGCTGGGCATTGCTATGAAGCAAAGCATACATGCACACAGGAGGGAGAGGGACAAGGAAATGAGGTGTGAGTGTATTTGTTTGTGTTTGTGTATGTGTGTGTGTGTTTGTGTGCATGCGTATGTATTTGTGTGTGTGCATGTGTGTGCATTTGTGTGTGTATGTGTATGTGTGTGCATGTGTGCATGCGTATGTATTTGTGTGTGTGTGTGTGTGTGTGTGTGTGTGTGTGTGTGTGTCGATGAGTCGGAGCCGAGCGTGAGCTGCAAAAGAACGGGCATGAGCAAAGCCCACGCACATACACACCCAATCGCATCCGCGGACACAACAATGAAACAAACAACAAACCACTAAATCAGCCCAGCATGTGGGCGACTCATACCGTGCATGTGGCCTGGCCGCCTACGGAAAAGCTGCCGGCCGGGCAGGCCAGCTGGTCGCCATCCGCCGTGTTTGTAGCAGAACAATACATGCCAGCGGGGCAGATGCTGCACAGCTCGGCGCCAGATCCCGAGAACGTGCCCGCCTTGCAGGACACGGCCGCCGCGGGGTCTGTGATGGAGGGGCAAGCAAAGCCAGCGGTGCAGTTGGTGCAGGATTGCTGCTGCCCAACACTGTACGAGCCAGGCGAGCAGACAACTGGCGTATCGGAGGGCGTTGGGCACGCATAACCAGGTGGGCATTCCGAGCAGCGGATCGAGCCAGCTCGAGAGTAGAATCCACCAGCACAGGCAACCGGCGTGCTTGCCTGCAGGCATTGGAACCCAGCAGGGCACAGGGAGCATGTCGTGTTGCCGCCAAGCGCGTAGTAGCCCGAGCCGCAAGCCACAGGCGCAACCTCGGGAACGGGGCACGACGACCCAGCAGGGCAGGAAGTGCACATCATCTCGCCATCAAGGGAATACCACCCGTCACCACAGGCCACAGGCTCGCCCGTGTCGCACGCGTAGCCAGCAGGGCACGACGAGCAGAACGTGGTTCCCGCAGGGGAATAGTCGCCGTCATCGCAGGCTTCGGGCACAACGTTTGTGGCCGTGCACTTGTGGTTGACGGGGCACGGCTCACAAGTGGAAGCGCCACTGGTCGAGTACGTGCCAGACCGACAAGCGACCGGCTGCATGCCGGAGACGCACTTGTACCCGGCAACGCACGTCTCACACACGCTCACGTCACCGCCGGGCGACCAGGTGCCGTTGGAGCACAGCGTTGGGCTGCCAGGATCGCCACATGCATACCCGGGCGGGCATGGGAAGCACGCGTGCGAGCCAGCCGGGCTGTACGAGCCAACATCGCAGTCCCTGCAAACACCGTCAGAGGTGGAGTACGTGCCAGCAGGGCAGGGCTGGGGCGAGGATGGGTCGGCGCAGGTGTAGCCAAGACTGCATGGAGAACAGTGGTCGGCGCCTTCGCTGGAGAATGTGCCGGATGAACATGCATCGCAGCCAATGGCGCCAGCGATGCTGTACGTGCCCGCAGCACACGCCGTTGGGGCATGGGCAGGGTTGTAGCAGGAGTGGCCCTTTGGGCACGGCAGGCAGCTCGAGCGGCCAGTTTCGTTCGCATAGCGCCCAGATGGGCACTGGATGGGCTGCGACAAGGGGTTCGGGCAATAGTTTCCGGCAGGGCAGTCCTCACACGTGCCGCCATTCGAGTACTGGCCGAGCGGGCAGAGGTCCAAGCTGTCGCCGTTGCAGGAGTAGCCGTCGGGGCACGACTGGCACACCGTGGAGCCAGCAGGGGCGAAGCTGTTGGAAGGGCACTCCACCGGGGAAGAGGATGGATCCCCACAAGCATAGCCAGTCGGACAGATACTGCATGTGGAAGAGCTGTTGCTGGTGGTGTAGTATCCAGAGGCACACGTTTTGCATGACGACGCTCCCGCAAGCGAATACTGACCAGCAACGCAAGCGGTGCATTCACCCTGGCCTTCGTGCGCGTAGGTGCCAGCAGCGCAGCGGCGAGGGGTTGTCGACATGAACGCACAATAGTGCCCGGTAGGGCATGTGGTGCAGTTGGTCGCGCCCTCCCCGCTGTACGTCCCAGCAGCGCACCCAACAGGCGCAACACTCGCATCGTAGCACGCATACCCAGCAGGGCACAGCGTGCACGACGTCTGCGCCTCCGCATCCGCATACGTCCCCTCTGCACACGCCGTCGGCCGCCGCTGCGGGCCCTCCTGCGTTGGGCAGTACGTCCCTGCAGGGCACGCCGTGCACCCGTCAGACCCAGGCTCGCTGTAGTGGCCCGTCGCACACGCCTGCCACACAAGCACACACATCCATACAATGGGGTGGTAATGGTGGTGGTATGAGGTGAGTGCGTGTGCGCGTGTGTACATGTGCAGATGACATCGTCTCAAGCACCGACAAACAAGCAAACAGCAGCAAAG